CAATTTCAATTCCAAAAATATTTTAATTTGCCACTACTAAAAATAAATGGCCCATTGAAGGGTTAAAATAATAAAAAACTAAATTCGATTTTATTTTGCACATTAGTGCATGAATTTAAATACTGAAGATACTCCCATTATGAAAGTGTTATATAAATACTGTTAAATATGCCCTCATAATAAAATAAAAAGTGTTTAGACGTTCACATTAAAACATTGCAGTCACTTTAAATTTTAAAAAATATTAACAAATATTTCCTCATATCTATAAAAACTTCATTATAAATATTTTATGATGATTACAAATAATTTGATTAGCGAAGATAAATATGAATAATGAAATCCTGTTAACGTCACTAATTTCCTCTAGAAAAATACCGCCTGTCCTGAAAGAATGCCTAGGCAACAACGAGTTAGTAGAAATGAGGAAGTGAAACTTTCTATTTGCAATAAGCAACTATTAGTGCTCTGTCATTTTGTTATTGCAATGACATAAAAAATTTTAAATAAAAGGAATAATATACTATATTTGTGTTTATATTAAGTAGTTCCTTATTATGTAAGCGGCTACTTAATATTTAAAAATTAACAACCACTGAATTTACAGATACTAATTCAAAAATATATCTTAATCATATATCACGGTGACAGCTCTATATATAATTTTGTGCTCTTCATTTTAAAACGAAAGCTATGATGAAGCAATTATGTTACCGGTTTTTATCTTTTTTTTTCTTTAATTATTCAAGGGATGCAGTAGCAACCGCGTTAAGTTTAATTTCTGGCTTTGAAAACATATTATTTTAAAGGCAAAAAGAAAGAAAAAACAACTATCATCAAGTTTTGTCTTATAATTAGTATACGATTTAAATAATTGCAAAAAAAATCTCAGAAATAGAATGTTATGTTAGTTGGTACGGCAAAATCACTTCACCTATTTGAATTCAAACAGCCAAAAAAGAGATTAGCGAAATTCTCTTTTTTTTTATTAGTTCTTTGAAGAAAAAAATCCAACTTCTACTTTATATTTTTATAATTAATCTAGGTCTGATTTACTTCATAGCATGAAATAATAGTTTTATGCAATGAATAACCTAAAAATTCTTACTACCATTTTTTATTTATTTTATTAATATGAAGCCAGATTTACTTAACCATGTGGTTTTACAAATTTACGCAATCAATAACTTTGAAAATCCTGCTACATCTTTTGTTTTTATATCAAGTCACGTTTCCTTCATTGCACGAAATAGTCAATTTACCCAATAAATTTCTTAAAGGCAGAGCGATTCCCAAATAATGCTTTACGTAAATCTGTTTCAACCAATAGCAAATATTTATACATTCCATTTTTATGCCAAATATATATTTGTCTTTGTAGGCCCCCTTATATAATAGTCATAATTTTGTTAAGTTTGGTTTCAGGATTTATTTTTTGAGGCTAATCAAATGCTATAAAAAAAATTTACATTTCTCCAGAAAAAGTCATTTTTTAGTAAAAATAAGCATATTCTTTCGCAGTTACAGTAAACTATTTTATAATATAGTTTAAGAGATTTCTTTAAGACATTGCCATAACGCTTTATAGAATGAAAATGCATCGATTCGTGGAAGAGTTAATAAAATAATCCATTTTTCCCCTTTTGTTGATTGTACATAAATTGTATTAAGTAATTAAATGACTTTATAATATTTAAATTCCATCCTCTTCACTTTATTAAGCCTAGGTCTCAATTCACATTTTTTTTCGTATGTGGGCTGTGTATGTTGTATGTTTGATTAAGAAAACTAATTTTATTTTAAAAAATATTGAATGCATGCATCTTAAACTACAGATTCTTACTTTAAATTGTATCGTTAGAATAACTTTACTGACTATTACGTGAATCATATCTTATTGTAATTATAAATTTCAGTGTTACTGAATAGCGAAAATAGAATCGGCTGTATTACTCATTAGTGCAGAGGAATATTCCTGGTACACTCTCAGAAATAAAACTCTCACTATTGATGAACCTTGACCTATAATTCGCTAATGTTGAGAATTTTTTATCCGAAATCACGTAATGTGTGACGAAACGGGAACTCTCAAATCTATGTCTAAAATGCTTCCTTACTTCCAAACCTCATCGTAATTAATTTCTTAAAATTGTTAACTAGAATGACGAAACTAGGATGAAGAGTAGACGATCGGAAATAAAATGACGAAAAAAGCCTTGTGGTCTGCATGGTAGCAAGGAATTTGACTTCATGCCAAGAAGATTCTGGGTTCGAATCCCGCTTCGAGCATGGGTGTAATTTATCACTCCGTTTTATTTGTTAATAAGATGGCATTGATCCAACTATATACATTAAGCACTAGTTGTTGTTTGCTTTTTTTTTGGAAAATAAAATTAAATGACGAAATAGTTTTTTACTATTCACTAAATTAGTTTCATCTGAAAAGTGCGGATTGTTTTTCTGTCACTTTGACGTGATGTCTCCTCTGGAGATATACCAGGAAACGGTTTTTATCAAAAACGAAGAAAGTTTCGTGAAATTTGAATAACCATTTTTTACAGATCTACCATTTGCACCTGGATCCCAAAGTTATGTATGGCGTTTTACATCGCATTGGTGTAAAGTAGATGCCACCATTTTTGTGCTGGGATACTCTAAAATTGTTTGTTGTGCAACCATTTTTTACATATCTACCATTTGCACCTGGACCCCAAAGTTTTGTGTGACATTTTACATCCCATTGGTGTAAGTTATATGCCATCATTTTTAGAGTTGAGATTCACTAACAGTGTTTGTTGTTTTGTGCGAGGAAGGATTTAAATTATCTTTTGGAAACAAATAACAAAATAATAACAAAAACAAAAGCATCATCTATGCATTCAGCGTCTAACGACAGAAGTTCTTCTAATTATTGCTAATCATAAACTCAATTTACATAAGTAATTATTCGAAATATCTTTAACTTATGAAAATATTAATAATTCGGGTTTTAAATTTTTCCATGAGGCTAAATTGAAACTCACTAATAATTTTTAAACTTGATAAATCATGTTTTATATTTTAAAGCAAATATATCATTTTATAAATAGGTTTTGTCCAAATAAAACCGGAAATATTAACAATGTGTAGGAGACAAATTTAAGTTTTAAGAAAACAATTTTGCTTTTTTGTACGGTCATTTTGTGCATAATGAAATAGCTTGATAGGTAATAGTTTAGCTATTGCTTTAATTCAACCTTGGTTGTACCAACTGATATGCACTAAATTACAATGATAAAAAGAATGAACATATCATAATGATGATTTCCACTACAATATGAAATTTAAGATCAAATAAGAAAATAATATACAATGCGTAGATCATATCGTCAGTGTGACGTTGAAATCCTAGCTGTATACAAAATATTTTTCGAAATAAAATTTAGCTTTGAGATTTAAAGGCTTACTATTCTAAATTCATATGCAAAATAAAAATATAAACCATTCTAGATTCGTAGTTTTCACATTCATACCATTGGCTTGGTATAGTTTACATGGAGAAGAATGAAGTTAAATAAAAATTTGGCTTCGTATCAACGATGTATAATACACATATTAGCTAACTTAATCATTAAAAAAGAATTTGGAAATAGAAATCTCAATTTCCGAACTATCTGCCTGAGTAAAAATTTTGAAAAGGGACTTATTGTTATAACAACAGTGACTAAAAAGAAATTTAAAAAAAGAATAAAACTAAAAAGCGTGTAAAAAATATAACAATACGTTTTGACAAAACAAGTAATTTCTCATGTCAACAAAAGAGCTTTACGACACACATTATGTACATTTGTCATTTGTCCCGGTAACAAACTCTTGGTCACATACTTGTTAGTAGACTACTACTTTCTTGAAGTCAATTTCATTTGCCTGTTATGAAATGAAATGAAACACAGCGCAAATTTATTTCCCGAGAACAAAATTATTGAATTACTACCCACACTGTTAGAAATTTCTCGGAAAAAATGATTAAATTACAATTTATTTAATTGTTAGTTTACCATATTCAAACAAAACATTCAAATAATCATAAACAAGATGGTATTCAAGCTTTTAACTATGAGCCGTTTATTAACTGCTTTCATCTAATACGGCAAAAAAAAAAAGAATTTCATCGCATGAGCCAACTAGACCCACCTAAGGAAGTCACTTAGCTCCTTGTGGTTGGGTAGATATTATAACCGAGAGGGCTATTCTGTCAATCTCATGACCCACAGAAGATGGGTTCAAGTCCCTGCCCTGACATCACAATATTTCCACTGTTCCTCTCTACACATGAAGAGTTCCCAGTGACTCCAATTGGAGACCCTGGAAAGCAAGAATGCGATACTCTCATGTACGCATAGATGACAGCACCATAAATCTATTTAACACAAAAAAGGCCTACTATTTCCCTTTTCTTACGATAGGTGAAGCAACCAGTTATATTAATTAAACCGCATTCCGTGGTTAAATTTCATAAAACACATTTCAACCACAAGCCTGGCTTTAATGTCCAATTAAATTTCTTTTTTACGGTATTAAAACCATGATAGTTGCAAAGGAATAAAAAGTTCTATAGTTTTGTATCCATAGTTTTTTAACCATACTAGTTGTACATGGTTTTAAAACTGTCAAGACAAAAATAAAATTTCCTTTTTCGTAAACTCACTGGTAAATTTCATAGACAGACCGCTGTCTGTTATTTTAGCGAAATTTCAGAGTAAAAATCCCAACAGTGTTTGTAAAAAAAAATTGGGGGGAAGGGGGTTATTTTTAGGTAATTGTAAAACTAACACAAATTTGATTTATGAAAAGAAAATAAGCAAACTAATACTTTTGCAGAAATGTTAATTTCATTAACTAAACTCATTAATTTAAGTAAAAGCAATTTTATTTGTCTACATTTTACGATGGGAAAAAACCACGGTTACTTTATGAAGAGAACGTAAGAAAACTATTACTCATTCAAAAATAAGCGCTAATTTTATTTGCTTACATTTTTATTTAAAAGTAAAACAACACAATTTTAATTTATGAGTATAAACAAAATATCAGCATTTAAGACGTGGATATAAAGCTCATCCCATTGATGGCATTGAACCAGGCATGGAACCAGCATTGCTTTTAGCTATTTCAGCTCCTTTACCTGCTGCACCTTCAGCTTGATTAACGCTGCATACTCCATTTGATACATACTTCATCATTATCTCCTTCAGTTTTTCCTGAAATTTAAAACAACGAAAGACGTAAACACCAACCATATTTCTAATTTGATTAACTTATTGTACTTCAGTGAAGAAATTGACATGATATCGATATAGAGGGTGGCCTATATTCACCGCCCTTAATAACATATTTAAAATCCAAATCAAGAAAGAAATCAAAAAAGTATGCCCATTAGTGTAATATTTATGCGAAGAAATTTCAAAAATAGTATCTGAATCAGGATCTGCTTGTCAGGATCTGCTTTGTCCCTAATGATACTTAGAGTTGATTTTAATAATTGTCGTTTGCTTCCTCCCTGTTTCCTTAAGCAAGAGAATTATATTAGTTTATCCTTCCAGAATAGTTATTTTTTTAAGTGTTTCGGTTTCTTCGCCTTAAATAATGATTTTCTATTCTTAATATGTGTACTTTCTTTATTTCATAGTTGATAAGGATTCTAAAAATACATATTAATGGCAATGATTTCGAAGTAACCTATATAAATACAATAAATATGTACAATAGATCATCATTAGAAGTTACAAAGTCTTGTTGAAAAAACCATTATCTTTGTATTTTTGGAATGATAATAAGAACAATTCAGGAGACCTTACTTGATTGAATACTTCATTCGCTTCAAAAATATGCAAATTTGAATAAACGGTCGACATGTTTCAAGCACTCAGAAACAGGAGCCCATTTTCAAGACATGCCAGACGTGAATGAGAAGAAGTCATTTAAAATGTAGAAGGTAATAAAGCTACCAACGAAGAATGGAAAAATAAGCGTGAGAAGCAGAACCAGAAAAACCACAGTAATTGATAGAGAAAAAAGATGAAAAACAACAGTAGCCGAGAGGGGCAAATCAGGGTAAAAGGCATACATTTCCACACTCTATGGAGAGATGATTTCTAGAAGTAATGTCCTTACCAAGAGTGTCAGCCTTCATGCGAAGAAAATGAGATTCCAGAGTATCAAGATGAGCTGATGTGAATGTGGTGGAAATAATTTTTGCATGGCGGAAACTGAATTCATTTCCAAGATTCCAACAATTTGCAGCAATTGATATTTTCTTGTATTCTTCTCAAGAGACAAATTTATCATGTTCCTTAAATCTAAATTTCAAAACTAGTCTAGTTCGTCCAATGTTGCCAATGTCACACTGACAAACAATGTGGTAAGTGCACCAATGATTATCATAACTGATAGTTTCTTTAAGAGACTTTTATTTTGTTAACAGGCCTGAAAATGACTTGAAACCGAAACGGGAGAAGATATTAGGAATTTTATAACAAACGGGAGAAAAAAGCGTATAAGTAACAAGTTCTTTGTAAGGATTTGAGAAAGAGGTGCGTATGGACTGATGGTAATCGGTCATTTGGTTGTTTAAAAATTGGAGAACTCAGAAATCGAAGAAGATGTGTATAATAAGTAGCAAAAACAAGATATTATTAATACTCACTTATTTACTAAACTCCCTCAAGCCAAAAAATGTTGAAAAAAGGTTGCTGTTTTTTCTTAAAAAATGTCGTTAAAGAATTCAATCTTTTTACTAATTTGTGTTCATTTTTCACAAAAATGAAGACTGGATCACCCTCTGTTGCATGTTGTGGATTGCTGAGTTCGAACAAACCAATGAAGTGAAAAATCAGTTTTCCCCCAGAGTTATTACACTGGGAAGAAGATTGCTGGAAAATATTGTTACTGACCGAGTTAAAAGTGGTTTTTTCTCAGAATCAGTTTCTATGAACATAAACCGTTTTTCCCCCTTTGATCCTAAATATTAATGTTTATCTAACAAAAATATTTATCGTAACGGAAAATTGATAAAACTAAATTTTTCAGCTCATATTCAATTCAGAAATGAAAGCATTAAAACAATACACTTTCTGGAACAATACACTTTCTTCATAGGCATAGAAATGTAATCTAATATTAAAGATGATCTGCTGCTAGTAAAAGCTTCATTAAAAAAAATTATTTTACATAAACTGTAACAAAATGAATGCTCAAAACTATAAGGAGTGATAGAACTTGTCAAAATAAAGTATTTTCCCCATGTGGTATCAAAAATCGAAAGGCAAGCTATAGGAGAAAGCCTGTTTAGTGAAAGTGAAAAATACAATTAGATACCTGCGAGTGACGTCACTGTGCGGAAATTACGTCATTTGTCGGTTCAAAAATAAATCAAATTCAAAGTGACGCCGCTCCTCGCAGGTATCCAATAAAATCTGATTTAAATCACATGTTTTGACATAATCCCTTCTCTTATTCTCAAGTTACTAAAAGAAACTTTAAAATACAGGTTCTACGAAGAATGGTACTTTAATCTGTAACGGCTTACTTTTAAATTTTCGAACCCATAATATAAATGACTTGTTCATTTTGGCCAGTTTTTACTCATTTAGAAACATGGCTATCAATTTTGTTGCATCCATTATGACAGGGGAAATTGAAAATTCCAAGTAAAGTAAATCAATATTCATTGAATCAAAAAATAATTAAATTGAATTAAATTAAATACGAATTGAATTAAAATAAATACGAATTGAATTAAAATAAATACTCCATTCAAGATGATTTAAGAAAAATTAGATAACGACATAACAGACAGCTTTTATGCCAGCAGGCAATATTTAAATTGGGTGCCTGAAACTCAAGAAGAAACGAAGTGATTAAGCCAAACCATTTGATTTAAATCAGATTTAATTGGATACCTCTAAGCGACGTTACGTATGTGCGTTGAACCTGATTGACTTCTGAATCAACAAATGCCAGGATTTATCAACGATGACGTCACTTACAGGCATTCAATCTAGGACTATTCTAATATCTTCCCTTTGATAGTTCTAACTCGGTTCCATATCTCCGTCTTACTCCTCTTCACAAAATTCCTCTTCGCAAAGGATTGCACATTATGTTAAAAGAACGTTACATTTTTCATACAACATTTTTAATTCATTGCGCTTTTCAAAGTCAACTGGAGAATATTTTTTTTTGAAAAAAATGTCGTTTTCTGTAATCTTTCAATCATGGCTGTCATGACTCAGAATTTATTATTTGGTTTAGCCTCTAAAATTAGGCTCTTAAATCTATCGTTTTTGATGATTTCCATACCTTTTAAAAGCAGAAAAATTTTTACAAGAAATTTACTACCAAATACTCACAACTGTTTGTTCAATTCTTTTGCAGCATATTCCTTCTGGTTCTTCATTGCATTTGTCCTGGAAGAAAATACAAATAGTTGTCAATGAAATTACAGAGTTTTTTCTTTAACTTTTTATCTTTCAAAATTTGATATCATAATTTTTGCATTTTTTGTTGTTTTTTATAAAGTATATATTATACGAAACAATAGCCCAAAACGATTTTTTTTATTCAATTTATTTTACAAGATATTAACAATTAAACTTTGAAGCTCCTTTTAATTAAAAAATAAATATCCAAGGATAGAACGAATGGATTTTAAAAAAATGTATCTCATTTTGAGCGGAAATAATTGAAGTTTTTGATGAAATAATCATAATAAAACAAATGATTAAAAAATTGAATTTTTATTGAAAATAATGAAATTGAAAATTATAAAATGAAAAGCAAAAATGTTGTTAATGTCGTACAAAGTTCAAGCAAAACCCATTTTAAAGTAAATTTTATTCTGAACAAAATGACTTTAAAAAAAAAAAAATGGAACGTAATTCCATTAAAAGTTATAGCTCTTTTCGCGAAACGCTGCACCGCGGCGCGCTCCGTGATCAGCGCTGATTACCTCATGCGCTGCGTGTTTTTTCATGTTTATACTCGAATTGTAACGAGCGTTTGTTAAGGTAATCCGGAGTGCTGATCTGCGTGATAATAATTATCAAATAAGTTAAGTTTCAATTGTTATTTAACTTAGTAATATCAACTTTAATAATACTTATTGTTTTTTTTAAACTTAGAATTACATTTCTAAGAAATACATTAATTCTAAGAATTTGATTTGTATATTTATCATGAAATTTAATTATAAACTTACAGATAAAATCAAGAACTGGTGAACTATTGCTGCAACCCACTGAACAAATTAAGGCATCGAAGTGTCTACAAAAATGTTAAGCTTGTGACAAAAAAGTGGAGTTCAGTATTTTCAAATTTAATAAATCAATTCATTTGTGATTCCTGTCGCCGGACAATTTTTCAGAAAAATATACCCGTAATAATTATTAATGAAAAAAGTAATTCTATTCGTAAATTTGCAAATAATTTTAAATATTAATTTCAAATTAGATAATTCTAATAATTAAAATGTTTTGTTGATTTTAGAAAATAACGAAAATATGGTATCGAATTGTTCG